GTTTGTGGCGAGTTTGCCCTCGTACGAGTCCTTCAGATTCCTTCGTATGACCAGGCTTCCCACCTGGAACTCGCGCTTGATGAATTTGTTGTCATGCCGCAAAGTTATCTTTTTTTTCCAGATAGGCTTCTCGTAAGGATACCCCCGACCTGATTTCCTCGACTAGGTCGAGTTCCTCCCTTAAGGCCTCGTCGTTTGCCTCCTCGTAGAGGGGAGACTCGGTTCTCCTAGAGGGATTTCTTATTTCTACCGGAATCTCTGCCTCGGTTTCGTAGGTTAGTCGGAATGGGGTCTCACCGTGATTTTCGCTCCTTCTCGAGCATCCCTATGTGATCATTTTGCTGGAAAATCATCAGGTTGGTCTAGTTGATCGCAGAGAACAGGGCCACCATGGTGGGGTCGGTGCTGGGTGGCACCGGAATAGGCTGGTAGACAGTCGGGCTATCAAAGCAGTGGGCAGTGTTGAAGGTCGCGTCTTTCAAGGAGGGAGAGGCGGTGTCCCCGTCTCTGGAGTCTCCCTCCTCAACGTGAACGATCACATTGGGATCGTGGCCGTCACCGTTGGTGAAGGGGACGAATGCGGTTTTCGGAGCGTTGTCGTTGCGTGGGCTGGCCATGATCAAACAGAAGTTGGATATTGCTTTGGTTCTCGAGCTTCTACGCTTGTATAGGAGAAAGAACGGGGAGCAAAAGGTTTCCCACAGATAACGCCACTGATCTTACCTGATCAGAAAGGAATCATCAGACTGCTACGCGTCGTGAGCTCCTGTGTTCACCGGTGTTGATGAGGAGGAAGGGGTGTACGTGCAAGGTACTCCGATGCCTAAGTGAGTAACGGAGTTTTAGAAACGCAAGTACAAAGAGATTAGGTGTGTAGAATGAAATACTTGACCCTATAGTGAAAGAATGTATTTATAATGTGCCCCCAACGCAGGGCCAACGATTACATTGCATTGGACCGGATTGTCAGGCCCAACCCAAGTAACTGTCAGGGCTTACATGAGTAGGGAAGACAAGCACGTGGTCTTCGCCCTGAATCAACTGTCCCGTGATCTTCGAAAGGTGGGCTGACCAGCTCTTTCGAAAGTGGGTAGTTGTCTAATGACGTGTCCCCGCGTGGGGGCATATGGAAAACGTGGGGAAAACGTGTGAGCTCTCCCCGTACTAAGTAGTGGTCTCCCTGACGGCAGAGTTAAGTGTGCCCGGCCTGGAGAGGATTGGGCCTCGTTGGGCCTTCCCACATAGGATTGGGTTGGGCCTGCTCGACTATGGGGCAGGTCTCGGGCCAGTCCAGAACACTACCCACGTTACTTGCAAATTTGTTGTTATCGTTGTGTCATAATTGTTGCAGAGTCATGGCACCCAAAAGAAGTCTAGTCTCAAGCTTCCACCTCCTCTGCACCTCCTAATCAAGACGTTCCAACCTTTTCAAACCACCTCTTCTTTTCACAAGCCAATACGAGAAATATCTACAGCTTAAAGACTTTAACGTTGTAAAAGAGATAACATTTGATGCAGAAACTTGGAAGGGTATGAAGAATTGCTCATCATATTGAAAGAGAGAAATTGGATGAGGTTGAATAGTATGATCAAAAAAACCAACCAATTTATTGGGCTCGAGTTCTAAGTCTATGCTTCCTTTTGTCCTCAAAGATTACACATCTTACGTGTAAGATAAATTGTTGATTATAACCCTTCTAAAATTAACTCTCAACTTCATCTCCAACCACCTTCTAGATGTAGCATTTAAAATAATAAATAAAAGAATATTAACTTAATCGAGAGAATGTGTGAGAGAATATTGAAAGAGTTTTGTTACTCTGGAGATGAGTGGGTGATTGTGAATGTGAGAAAATCGCTTCTGATAATGTATAATCAAATATTTTGTCCTTCTTTAGCATGGATAGTAGATGTACAGAGTAGTTTTTTCTTCAAGTAATAAAAAAAATTGTTTGTGTCTAGTTTAACTTTACTTTTACAAAGTATATAATTTAAACATTAAAAAATATGTGTGTGAGAGAGAGGAATGCTATAATTTTATGGCATTTATTAACACATGCAACAAACAGAATATTTCTATTTTTATTTAGCATGTTGTAACAACGTGTGTCCCAATTGCTTATTTCAAATATAAACTTTTAATTAGTTGGATATCAACTATCTTTAAAAGAACATATCTCCAAACTATCAATAATATCTTTTATTTTAAATTTTTTAACACTTATAAAAGATTAAAATAGTAAAAAATATAATCTTTTAATTAATTTATCTTACTTCAACTAAATACTACTAAATGTCAAATTCTTATTTAATATTTTTAACTTTTATTTTTTTCTCCACTTTTCACTCTTTTACTCACTATTTCTCTTTTATACACTTTTTCACTTCTACTTTTATTTTATTTTTTCTCTTTATTTTCTCATTTCCTTTTTATTTTTCTAAGCAAAAAATGTGATCTGACCTGATCAGAAGGGGATCACTAGCTGGTCACACTCTGTTGGACTGCTGCCTGTTTACCGGTGATGAGGAGAAGAAGGGGTATACCTGCAAGACACTCTGATGTCAAAGTAAGGAATTGGGCAGAGTGAGAGCAAATACAGAAATGGGGTAAGAAGTGAATTACCTGACCCTCTTGTGGAAGAGGGTATTTATAGAGAGACCCCAGCATTGGGCCAACGGTCACTTGTATTGGGCTGGATTGCCAGGTCCAACTCAGGTGACTGTTAGGGCTTACGTGGCGTAGTGAAGACCATGACGTGGTCTTCACCCTAGTCCAATTGTTCTGTGATCTCCGGAAAGTGGGTTTGACCTGCTCTTTCGGAGGTGGGCAGTTGGTGGATGACGTGTCCCCGCGGAGGGGAGCACGTGGAGAACGTGCGAATGGCACGTTGATCTCCCCGCAGAAGGGAGCTCGCGCGGTTCCCCGAAAGTGTGTTGTTCTCCCCGCTGAGGGGAGCACACGAGGACGGGGGAGAGGCACGTGGTCCTGCCCGGCGACATGGGAATTCTGCCCGCGGAGGGCTGTTCTGCCCGACGAAGGGAGGGCGTAGAGGGCGTCTTGGGGCACGCTGTCTTGCTCGGCGGGAGCATGCCCTGCCCGTCGAGGGGTCGCGTACTCGGTCATCCTACTTAAATCATATTGGGCCTTGGTCGTGTATTATTAGACTGGACTGCGAGGTGAGGCCGGGGCCCAGACCAGAACAAAATGAATAAAAAAAATTAATCTTTTTAATCAAATGAGGAATATATTAAAATTGACTCAACCGAAAACATAATTATTTTATAATCATTAAAAAATTATTCATAATTATTAAAAAAAATTATTTTCAAATGTAAAAAGAAAATTTCATGGATCACTATCACCAAAATACATATTTTATTTTAGTTAATAATTATTTTTACTTTAGACACAAAATTCTTATTTTAAAATATCAAACTTTTTATTTTTCTCATGAGTCACTATTAGCAAAATACCTATTTTCTTTTAAGTAAAAATTGTTTTTATTTGAGAGATAAAATTTTTATTTTTAAATGACAAAAAAATATATATTTTATTTTAATTAACAATTCTCTTTATTTGAGACACAATTTATATTTATGTCAAAAAAATTATTTTTTTCACGGACCACTATCAACAAAATACCATTTATTTAATTAACAATTATCTTTATTTAAAACATAAAAATTCTTATTTTAAAATTTTAAAATTGAATTTATATTATTATTATTAATAATTGTATAATTAATTAACTCATTTTAAATTTACATATATATTTAAATTAAATCTATATCATATCAAATAAATTTATCTGCACAAGACACGCGGATATATTTATATTGCTAGTGTCCTTAGGAAATAGATGCTTTTTATCATGTTATAGATGTTTGAGTTGGACTTTTCTCCCACTAGAAGGTTAGTATCAATTACGTACAACTCGTTTCATATAATTATTAGTCCTAGTCCTAATCTTATTAAGAATATAGGGTTTACTCATAAGAATACAACTCCCATATACTTTTGTCCATTATTATAATTGTGGACAAATACTAGCCGAAACATGTTATTTCATGTAAGGTACCAAAAAGAAAACAAACAAAAGGAAAGAACGAAAATATATAAAAAAAATTTGTCGATGTTGGAAGTGTGACAACGTACACACACATGCCAAGTGGCCATCAATTTATTCAACAAAAAACAAAAGCATTTAGGTGAAATATTACTTTCGAAACTAAAATAGTATGGTTTCATTCATCTTTCATAGGTCACTTCTATTTTATGATATGACATGTTACATAAAGCGACAAAATCAAGCAACAAAGCTAACCACAAATCTAATTGACGATAACTTAATAATGAAACATAAAAGGTGGGAATATTTGCAAACCCGCTTCCACGATCTACCGTTTTCTCTTTATTTTCCTTTTGCTTTTAAAAGTGAAGATAATTATTTTCCTAGGAATTTTTCCTAGTTCAAAGTTGAATTCAAACCTTTAATTATTAAGTGGTGCTATACTTTTCTGAATAGAAATAAAGGACGCTCCTTTGCTTTCCACTTAGGTTGCATTTGCAACAAGATGAAATATTTATAAGATTAACCAAAAACAAACCAACAGTTGGGGTTTATAGTACACCTACCTATATAAATTACATTTTTAACAAATTATATGGATCTCTGAAATTTGATAAAGTTACCACTTCCTTATCTGAAATATTGAAGACTCTTATGTAATTCATAAAATTAAAAGGGCAGCTCCGAAATTTTATCAAACCTTGAGGAAGATCTATCTGTATAGTCTGTTCTGCCGAAGTTTGTTCAAGCACCACCAAGTCTGCAACAGAACCTAAATGGCTTAATGAGTAAAATCCCATTCCATCCTAATCACTGACGCCAATCTATCCCGGTGAATCCTATTTGATTTTTTTTTTTAATTTAAAAAAATGAAGTTAATCCAAATTCTGAGAAAAGAAAAGAAAAACCTAGTGCATCAAGCTAATATACTCAGGATTTCCGAGCTAGTAATTCGCAGGTCACTACATCGTCCATGGATGAAGCAGACCGCCCAGCACCTATGACGGGAACTATGTTGAAGATCGGCTCCTCACAATTTTTAACTTTCCTTTTATTCATTTCAGAGAGTTCAAAAAGTGCATTGCTGAACATAGGTTGTATTAGCTCGACTGACATTTGAAGGCTTACCGGGATGTAGAACCTCAAACTCTGCATGACATAAGAAGAGAATTTGAAAAGTTCGATTGTCAGAGAAAGACTGATGCCATACAAAACATAAATTATCTGGATCTAAATTATTTCATTCCCCTAAAAGCTTGGGGAAGAAAGTGCAATTCAAAATGGAGGATATCGATGAAAAATCACTTCCAAAACAAGAAATGGGTTGGTACTGGACACAACTAATATATGATCGAAACAATGGAGGAATAAAATTAATTTGGCATTTGATATTTTGATAAGTATACTGACTGACCATTATATCTTCCCAGGCAAAGTTGTTATCTGTTATAGCTTTGTCAAGAAGATAAATGCAGAATTTTGATAACTGCTCCATATGTGCTTTAGATAGAGAATGTTGACCATTATCATTGACATAATCAGCAGGCAGAGAATCAGAACATATCTTTGCAGCAAGCTCGCTTGTGATAGATAATATAATGGCACATATCTTTCCAGGAATCACACATTTCTGAATGCAAGAATCATGCCAATTTTCCTGCTCGAAACCCCAATAACATGATGTCTTTGAACAAGGTATTTCTGTTATGGTCTCAATTGCTGCATCTGCGCCATCCTCGACGTAAAGAATAGGCTTCACTTCTACAAATGCTCTGGAAATCAATCATGCGTAGAATCCAAAACAAATGTTAGCAGCCATTATTAAAAAAACAAGGAATCAATAAAAATGGAATACAAAAGAGACTCCAAAATACATAGATTTGATAATGACTCAAATCAAAAAGAATAGGCTTCACTTCAACAAATTCTCTGGAAAACCATCATTTATAGAATCCATAACAAATCTTATCAGACATTATTAAAAAAACAAGGAATCAATAAAAATGGAATACAAAAAAAGACTCCAGAATGCATAGGTTTGATAGTGACTCAAATCACAGGAACCAACAGGGTGTCCTCTTCTGAGCAGCATAACCTGTAGTTATTTTGAGAGCACAGAATCCATAAAGGTTCACAATTCTAAAATACTGAGACCTAAGATAAACAGATAGCAAAAGAAATGTGCTTTAAATCAATTATAAGATAGCAAATTATAATCTTTGAACCTATATAAATAGGCCTTCTTGATAAATTACAGATCAATGAAAGTGTTAATGTTTGTCCATCAAACAAGATGCTTAGTTAAGAAATTAGATTAACGTAACTACAATACCTTTTAGGTAGATCAGGAACAAGAACATAAAGGGTTATGGGTTCTAATGCTTTGTACTTCTTGCCTTCCTGTAAATCAGATATCTTCATTTGTCTGAGGATTGTTTCTTGTTTCTTCTCGATATCGAGTCTATCCAATGAAGAGATATTTTTAGAACAGTAGATAACAAAACCAATTGCAGATGTCGATATTGAACAACTAAAAGATTTTGCTATTGCTTCACTGTTTTTTAGTGCCTGTTCATGTTCAACCCCAGGGCCCCCACTGCAAAGATTCATTGTAGGAGGGTCAAGCCCCAGTTGACCAGCCATGAGAAGTATACCCTCATGTAAGGTTGCCTGCAAGTAAAAAAAAAAAGCATTAGAAAGAGCAGAGAAGAGTCAGCAGATGGCATTTGAAACTGGATAACTGTATCATATATTAGATTTGTGAATGACATTATGAAGTAAGCAAACTATCAATTTACTGAACTTTCATAGTCCAATTATATTTTTTTCTGTTCATGTTATCCTTTTTTAATAAGAATGCCTCAAAATCAGCCCCAACTCCCGTGTTACAATACCCTAACATATTTAAGGATGAAGAATAAAGTTGAAAGAATAGAAGTAAAAAACCAATTCAATTTAACTATTTCCAATTATTTTAAATTTTGTCAAATGATTATATAATATTAATTGAAATTGACGTGACACTGTTCGGTGTTTTTCAAATCAATTTTCATAATAATAATAATAATAATAATAATAATAATAATAATAATAATATAATAAAGCAGGATATAGATATATTGTATGTAATCTTGCTTTTCTGTTGATAAATAATTGACTACGGGTAACAATGGTGTTTACCTGGCTGTATGGCCCAATGCAACTAGGCGCCCAACAGGAAATACTTTGTACATGCAAAACCTTTTTATCTTTATTATTCGATACCAAAACTTCCATATATGCTCTACTAAAATCCATTTCAACTAGAGGCATTTCAACTGTACTACGGGATGGGACGCCAAATGGGCACTTCTCATGTGTTATAAACTTCACATATGTCTCATTTGCCTCGGAGAACTTATTCATGTCATCAATGTAAAGATGAATATAGAGAACATTCTCCCAGCCAAAACCAAAGCCTTCTAGTTGTGATTCAATTTTTCTCAAAACAATTGTTAAATCTTCCTGCAAACCTGCTTAAAGAAAAAATATCAAGATGTGTCAAAGGACAAATAATGTGGAAGACCAAGACTGAGACACAAATTGAATCATTGAAAATCTAAGAATAATTATTACCATTGCATGAACCTTGCAACCAGCAACCTATTGAGAACGTGCTCTTGTTATTTGTTTTTGAAATCTTAAATTTATGTTCTACACCATCGATTTGATCCGTGAAATCAAGAGGCTTGCATGTGGCTTCCAAACTTTCTGGACTATCATGCACTTCGAACACAGGTCCTAGGTTCTGCGTACGACCCTCGTGTATTTTGTCTACTGTTTTTAAACACTGAATGTCTGCCTTATTTTCCAAATGAAATGCCAAGGGATGAAGGACTCCCACGGGAGCTATGGAGTCTGAAGAGTACATCACAACTTGATATTTGTCGAGCACAATGCGAGCATTCTGGAAAAATTAAGGAACATATAGATAAAAAAGAAAATGGAAGAAAAATATTGTAACTTTAAAGCACAACTAGTAATAAATTTAAAACAAAGCAGACATTAGAAATGGATCAGAGTAAATTGATCCCAACTTTATGCACAACTAAAGATCATGTGACAATGACAAATTTAGGAAGTGAAATGGACCAACCAAGGTTCAAACTGAATAAAAGAAACGATAGACCCAAAAACAACTCTCAATTAACCACACCAAAGGTGGTATGAACTTACAATAAAGAGCGGGCAATCTAGGGTCAATGTTTCATACTCCCCTCCTTCACCACAAACATTGATTCCATATGCCCTGCAACCAAGAGTTACACGGATGTATAGGGTGAAATGGAAATAGAAAAACACCATAGAATAGTGTTAAATAGTACTTTAAATAATTTATACATATTTGCACAGAAAAATGAAGGTTGAACGTATTTGACATACTCTTTCAATTTATGCAAATAAGCATTTAACATGGCTAATTCTTTACCCAAGTGCTTCGCAGGATCCAAACCCATGGCAGCTACCTTGTAAAATAGACATGGAATTAAATTCCAAATTAACAATTATCTAAGTACATAAAATTACGAAAAACAAGTTAAATTCCTGTGCAGAAGAAAATGGTTTCACTTGTTTAATTAAGTCTTTCATATTTTGGCTGTGCAGGTGTCTTATTCTCATCAACCATATATTCAAAGCAACCTTATTTTTAAGATTACATGGAAGGATTAGCATATCATGAAACTTTTAAATGCGGTCCATTGATATCAGTTGAAGAGCTCAATATGATCAAAGCAACAATAAGATCTCCGTACATTGATGATAGGAACATAGGAATTCATCCCGTTCATAAAAGAAAAAAAAAATCAATAAAAGCAAAATCAAATGAGTTATACCTTTACAGTTATAGCTACTATTCCATTTGCAATCTGGTCAGGACCAAAATGGAGTTAGAATTATCTGAATGGAGGAAATATAAAAATCCACATAATCAATTGCATGCATGCGCAATACAATAAGTTATATCGCAAATAGCCTAGAACGCGATTTACCATTTCATGGAGGAGCAAGGACTGGTCTTGTTTCCATAAGTATGCAAGAGAAACAAGGCCTAACCTTGAACATACACTTTCTACCCGCAGTCTCTGATAGTCAGATGCAATGGCTCCAGAACACACAGCAGTAACTGAGGGTATCTGCCTTTTCACTTCGCGTAATAAAATATACATATCTTCAACTTCATCACCTTGAGTTGTTTTGTAACCAAGCTCTAGATGCCTATCAATAAAATATCACTTAGAAGATAAAATCAAATATAAAATAAATCCATATATTCTGCTGACTATGAGAATACAGTGCAAAAAACATTGTCTGTTTAAAAAAATAAGATGTTATGCCACTGATTCAAACGTTAGGCAACAAGGTAGAAAAATTATATTTTATTTGGACAAAAGTGATATTTTATAGATGATAAAACAAAATGATGTATCTTCATCTCATTTATAATCCTTAGCACATATTTGGCAAGTAAACAATCAACTGCTGAGTTTTCACAATCTATATAGCATGTTCATAGGAATAGGATTTAAATTTCATCATAAAATTCCTTAAATTAACTAAACTAACCAAACCTACTGCTTTTCCTAAACCAAAATAATTGGTTTTATCAAAATATTTGTGTTTCAAAGGCTTGCCTTGAGGATCCTTGTATTCGCCTCCTAAACAATGGCAATCCCATACATTCGGCATAGTTGATGATAATTTGATGCCCAACCTGCAGAAAACATTGAGCAGCCCATTATAATTTTCAAACAAGAATGGAAAAGCACATATATACAGTAAGTATAAGTAGAGGCAACAACAACGCTCTAGCAACTTTGTTTAAACTATCATGACGAGAGTCCAAATAAAGAGCAAGAGGGTCAAGTTGGTAACTCAAACACAAAGGTAACAAGTATGCAACTACAGTATATTGTACCCTACAGATTCAAGTGTACCCTACAGTCCCACATTGGTTATAAATGTGGAGAGTTGAGGATTTTTAAGTGGAAGAACCCATACACCTATCACCTTAAGGTTTTAGGTGAATATGTGGTGTCTCTCTCACTTATGTTACTCTTGCCCCAATATTGATGTTCTCTCACTTATGTTACTCTTGCCCCAATATTGATGCTCCTCCTCATAGTATGAAGCATGGACACAAACAGGACATCGGACACGACACCTCAACACCAACACCAGTAATAATAATATGAATAAAATAAACATATTCATAAGTGCTGTGTCGTGTCGGTGTTAGATTCAGACACCGCTTTTTTCAGAGGCTACGATCTACAAATCAAAAGACATATGACACCACCAACATATCACAATCTATCCTACAATAGTTCAGGATGTCTACAATGCCATGAAAGTAGCTACAGAAAATATAGTATAAATCAAACCATATGAGAAGAAAAAAGGGGGAGGGGCACAAATTTTAAGTGCATGCTACTTTAACTCTACCACTCTTTGAGTCTAAAAAAACTAAAATCACATGCATCAATAACACTAATTCTTACAACAACAACAACAACAACAACAAAAAAAAACATGCAATGCCAAAATAGTGTACAATGAAAATTAAAAAATAACAATAATTAACCTCATTCATCTTGAGTACTATAAAAAGCCTAATTAGACATCTTACATTTGATTATTCAGCTTCGTGAGAAGAAAAAATTGAAAATTGGAATTGAGTCATACCGTTTGAAACATGTAGCTATCAAGCTCGTCAACGGAATCATCAACCGGCATCAAATTCGCCAACGCAACAATCTATCGCAACATCAAATGAGGGTAAATTACGATAATCGATTGTGAACTTGAGGAAGAAAAAACTGAAAAAGAAAAAACCTGGTGGCCATAGTGAATGGACTTCATCATGGCGTAGCAACTGTCTTTGCCGCCGCTAACAAGTGCAACGACCTTCATCTTTGCAAGCAACTTCTGCGATGACTGGGTTTAGGGTACCACTTCCTACTGTGCTGTGTAGTTAGAAACGATGAGAGACCAACAAAAACGATGCGTTTTGCTTATGTCTAGTTGTTGAAACAAATATTGATCCAATGTTAATGTAGCACAGGGATAATGGAATAGAGAGGGATCAAATAAAGATCTCTTTGATGCTATTTATAAAAAAAAAAATCAAATAAAGATTTCTTTGATGCTATTTATAAAAAAATATATATATATTTATTGAATGTCAATGTATATAATCTATATATATAATCTAGATGCATTATTTATTAATTATTTTAATATATTTAAAAAGTAAAAAATCATAAAATTGTTCGATAAATTATAGTAAAAGTCTTGAGTTATAAAAGTATTTAGAGTGAATATTTTGTTCCATCGTGTTAGAATCTTGAATATTAGTCATGATTTTTTTGAATTTTGTAGAGAAAGTTTGAATTGTATTTTATTGATCTTTGAAGTCTTGAACATAATGCTTTATTTGAACGAAAGCATTGTCATCTCACTGGAATTGTTTGTTGCTTCTAAACTATGTCTTCCTACCTTCCATTTTTTCCGGTCATATGCCTTTCAAACAGCAATATACCTTTTTAATCGGTTACTCATTCATGGTCCTAACATAAACACGTCACAAAATATACTCTTTAAAACACCTTAAAACTACAACAAAAAAATTAAAAACATTTGGGTGTCTTTATTTTCCTTTACTTAAACTATACACAAAAATAATAAGTTAGAACAAAGATATGAACCATGCTTATTTCTTAGATATAGGGTCTCACACAAAATGCCTACATTTGTTTCAATGTTTAGTTTCTATAGACATTTTCCCTTACTCACCAAACTCAAATAAACCATTACTTATATCTCACCTCAATTTAGACTTTCAATAACTTTCTACCACTATAGATTATGATGATCAATCTTTAACCTCTATCGTACCAATCTCAAAAGCCACCCACACTAATCTTTCTTAAATCTCTCACCCATCCACCCTCGTCTCATTCATATCACCAACAAATTCCTTAACCCAAAGTAATACATCACCATCCAATCAACCCATTAATCATCCTTCTCCCCCTCTATCCACAATACATTTCTCACCTTAACTACCACATGTACATGTTTCATTTTCATCTTAGTCACTCGTAGTAGGTTCTCTTTCCCAAGACTCAACTTTGGTAATGCCAAATCACTCCATGACCACTCGTAGAAAAACGAGAATATTCAAACCAAATAAGTTTTTTTATGTGTCTAAACATCCACTACCACCAACTGAAAAACAAACATGTGTATCCAAAGCACAGTAGTGCCATGAGTGGTGATAAATCACTATTCGTAAGTGATTCAAGCCCTTAGCACTTGATTTTATTTTGTTATTATCAAGTTTTATTAAGATGATTTAAGTTAACTTTGTTGTTTTAAGTCATTCAGTGAAGAGTACAATGGTGATATCCTTTATGTGTTTTTATGTGTTTCTAACTTGTGTAGGAATTATGTATGATAAGTTCTGACACAATAGACTACGAGCGTCATTTCTATCTTAAATTTCAACAAAGTCTTAGGTGCAATAGAGTTTACAAGGAATGAAGTTCCTTAGCATTAGGGAAAATGTGACAACCATGTGAAGATTGAAGTGCAGGTGAGTTAGAAACTTGGATGGATAAGATCAAGTACTGCAAGACAAAATTTTGCAAAAGTCGATATGCATATAATGGCGTTCATTGTTGTTTGTTTGCGCAGTAGACTTGCCACAAAACATGTTTTCCCCTTCACGCTGGAAATTGCACTACATGTACCTTATTTGAAGGAAATAAGAAGGAATACGATATGTTTATTGGGCCAGAAGAAATGAATATCTGCAAGGCTCATGATTCAATGACAAGACAAAGCCTTAAAAGATAAAGGGTATAAAAGGAACCTCTTGGACGAAATGGAAGGAGGTTCAAAAGTTGAAAACTTGAGAAATTACTCTGAAAAATATCTTATTGAAAAAGAAGGAGAAGAAAAAGTTTGAACCAATAATGAAGAGTTCCTTTCATTTCCCTTCATTTAAGAAGTGTTGAACATCTTGGCGTTACATAACTCACCTCATGTTGATTGAAAGATTGCAAGGAGTAGAGTATCTTACTTTAGTTTTCATTTTCTTTTCATTTGTGTTTAGAGATATTAAATGTGAGAATCTGTGAAGTATTATTTATTTTACTCATCATGAGCTAAAACTCTTTATGTTGAACAATGTGAAGTTTGGTGAAAAGTAATATTTTGTGTTTAATGGTGTGGATTGGAGTGATATGCATTTTACTATGTGAAATAATGTTAAATATTTGTTCCTTTGCTTTATCACCTTAGAAATAGGTAAATTTAGTTAAGGGTAAAGAGATTTATTAACTAACAGATTTTATAAGTAAATATGATTGAAAATAGTAGGATATACATATTTACTATATTAGCTAATTTAAAGATAAAGGACTGCAACCATAGGGAAAATCAGAAGATGGAAATAGACATGATTTAGCATGATCGTGAGACCTAGAGAGTTATTCCCTTGAGTTAATGCATGTGCATTGATGTTGTAGACATACACCACTGGATTACCTTTTGTCTCATTTGTCATGACAGATCTCATCAGACGCGAACAAAATATGAACTTCATTAGATGGATCATTGCCCAACATGCATCTTACTATTTATATAACTTTTTCATCATCATTTATCATTTATTGTATTTTGACCTGAGTTTGTGACAACCTAACATTATTATTACTTTTTTGCTCATGACTATTCACAAGATTTTAATGTGAGAATCAATTTAAGTTATTACATTCTCAGTAGGATCAATATTTTTACTTTTATATCACTTGCTACTATTTGATTGTGTATAATTGAACATATTAATAGTTCACACAACGAGTTTTTGGCATCGTTGTACGAGATTATATTAATAACACTTTTATTTTCTAAAACTTTTGTGAAAAGTACATTAGAGCTTTTGACGTTTTCTGTCTTCTAGTTACATGACAGGTGTATGTATGTTGCATGCACAAGTTGCTAACTCCAGTATACTGAGGAGATCCTGAGCCTGAAAAAAACACTCAATTACTAAGGAGATTTCAAGCTACCGATCACTTACTGGGAAGCCCTCCACCTACTATTGATTTTGGAAAGTTTGAAAGGTACTTTGAAAAGCCATTTGAAGGAAACTATGAAGAATTACAACTAATGTCATGAATACGTGGATTATAAGACCAAAGATCATAGTGGCACAATTTGAGTTCAAGCCCATGATGTTTCAACTGTTACAAGGTATTGGCCAATACTCAAAAGCTGATAACTAAGATCCACATCTCCACTTTAGGCAATTTCTAGAAGTTGCTAGTAACTTCAAAATTCTTGGAATTACTGATGGTGCTTTTAGATTGAGGTTGTTTCCATATTATCTAAGGGATAAAGCAAAATGTTGGCTCATTTCCTTATAACATAATTCCATAGCCACGTGGAATGCTTTAGCTTAAAGGTTTTTATCTAAGTATTTTCCTCCTGTGAAGAATGCAAAGATGAGGAATGAAATTAATTCATTTAGACAATGATATGGTGAATATTCATTTGATGCTTAGGAAAGATTCAAGGAATTTCTAAGGCAATGTCCTTATCGTGGGATACCAATTTTCATTTAGTTGGAAACATTTTATAATGGATTGGTACCATTCTCAAGAAATATGTTGGATGTATCCTCTTGTTGAGCATTACTATCTAAGTTTTATGAGGAAGGTTACAAATTGATTAAGCGCATTAGTGTCAACATCTATAAATGGCCAGTTACCAGAGCAACCATTGTAGTTGCTTAAAAAAAAGTTTGTTGGTGCCCATGAAGTTACTAAGACCATAGCCCTAATTGCTCAAGTGGCTAAAATACACCAAATGATGAAAAATATGATGACAGGTTCTGATACACCAACTACCGAGCCGATCAAAGTTGTAATTGATACCAATTGTGTTGCATGTATTTGTTATGGGGGGTCATTTATTTGAAGAATGTTCGACTAATCTCATTTATGTGAACTATGTGGGCAACAAAAAATACAACAACCCCTACAACAACACCTATACCCCAGGATGATGTAATCATCCTAATTTTCCATGGAGTAACACCTAAAATCAACTAAAGTCTTAAACACTACAAATTTCCTATGGTTTCTATACACCAAATCATGTTGTGTCTACTTAAGGAAACAACCAAGTGGAGAATATTTTGAAGTCCTTCATACAAGAAATAAAGAATCAGTTTCAAGCTAAAGGTGTGTGCGTCAAAAACTTGGAGAACCAAGTTAGAAAAATTGTTTTTTCACTCAATTAAAGACATATAGGAGCATTCTTAAGTTCTATTAAAACACCAACATCCACGTCTAGAACCAAGAGCATTGATACATGCAAAGTCATATCATTAAAAAGTGGTAAGGAGTATGGAGGACCAAGTTAACTAAATATTTACCAACCAAAGAGAGACCTGACATCTTTTGATGCATCAGATGAAGAGCCATAAACACCTACAAGAACTCCTTTGGTTGAATAAAGAACAGAGAATAAACATCAGAATCTAACAACTTCTAAAACGACAACTTCAACCGCAAAAATCAAAACTAATATGCCAAAAGTCAGCACAATTCCCATATTTATGCATGAGAGACCACGCCACCTTTTCCCCAAAGAATTAGGAGATTTTAATAGAAGCAACAACTTGGAAAATTCATGGAGATCCTGAAATAATTGCACATTAATACACCTTTTATTCAAGTCATTCAACAAATGTCAAACTATTCTAAGTTTATGAAGGATGTGTTGATAAAATTAAAAAGAGTTAGAGAGTTTGCTACTATATCTTTAACTCAAGAATGTAGTCAATTTGTTCATAGTAAGTTACCACCTAAGTTGAAATTTATTTAGCGGGAAGCTTGCCT